TGTGGGAGTTCTAATCCCACCTTAAGACCTGAAAGCCAGCTGGGTGACTTTGGGCCAATCTCCAGGAGTCTGGGAGTTCTAGTCCCACTTAAGCATGATAGCTACTTTGGGCCAATCACCAGGAGTGTGGGAGTTCTAGTCCCCCCCTAGACTTGAAAGCCAGCTGGGTGACTTTGGGCCAATCTCCAGGAGTCTGGGAGTTCTAGTTCCACCTTAGGCATGAAAGCCAGCTGGGTGACTTTGGGCCAATCACCAGGAGTCTGGGAGTTCTAGTCCCATCTTAGGCATGTGACTTATTATCTCTGAGTGACTTTGAGCCAATTGCCATCAGTGTGGGAGTTCTAATCCCACCTTAAGACCTGAAAGCCAGCTGGGTGACTTTGGGCCAATCTCCAGGAGTCTGGGAGTTCTAGTCCCACTTACGCATGATAGCTACTTTGGGCCAATCACCAGGAGTATGGGAGTTCTAGTCCCCCCCTAGACTTGAAAGCCAGCTGGGTGACTTTGGGCCAATCGCCAGGAGTTTGGGAGTCGTAGTCCCACCTTGGGCATGAAAGTCAGTTGGATGGCTTTGGGTCGGCCCTGCCCTCTCAGCCCAACCAACCTCACAGGATTGTTGTGGGGAAATTAGGAGCAGGAAGGCATGCTGGATATGTTCACTGCGGGTTATTTGTACAAATTAAATACAGGCAGGATGCAAATTAATCAATCAATAAAATACTCATGGTACGGATCATTGTGGATTGCACCCAATGCAAAATTTAATGGAACATTAGCATTGCTCCGGCAATGGCTCCTATACTTTTAAAATCAAGTTCAACGTGGTTTGAATCAAGAGCTGTTCTCTTTTTCCCAATATTGTAATTTTATCACCTCTCCAAGGTCCAGCTTTCAACCTCTTACAGAACAATCATCCAGCCATTGTCCCGCCCCTGCCCCCCAATCCAGTTTTCTACTCCAGGGGTCCCCATCCTTTTGGACCTCAGGGACCATTAAATTCATAATTTTAAATCCTGCGGACCACTAATACGATCTGCCTAATGACCGGCTGGGTAGACGTGGCTAGTGGTCATGTGACTGGGTAGGCGTGGCCAATTCAATGTCACTCATGTCGAGGGGCATTTTGCCAGCCTCTACTGGCCCCTCCCCTCCCAGCCCCTCCTCGCTTGCCCACCCGGGCTCCTTAGGGCCCCCAACAGGAAGCAGTTGCTGGAGCTAAGCAGCCACCAGGAGAAAGAGTTCAAATTGGATCTGGCTGAGAAGGAGGCTCAGCAGAAGCACCTCACTGAGGACTACCAGCATGGGCTTTCCAAGCAGAGGGAAGACCTGCGGGAGTGCAAGGCCAGGTGC